AATTTGAAAAGAGGGGGATGTCATATTGATATCATTAGTTCATATTGTGGTCTTAAAAATCATTGTTAAGTAAGAGTTATCTCCCATATTTTCCTTCTCAGTAAAACAGAGTTGTCTGCTCTTAAGGTAGATGTTTGTCATGTGACAGGATATGTACTTTTGTGAGTTGAAGGCATGATGTAAGAGCTTAGAGATTGAATAAAGCATGGCTGAAACTTAGATTCTAGTTTTGATTATAAGAACAATCCAAATCCATCTAGGATGGAAACCCCAACAAAACAATATGTATTATAAATACATGTATTGGACGAAATATATATTACACAAGGAGACGATCAAAAATCAAAAATACAGATCATAATTGCGTCTTTACCTGGACTGGACTAAGGAACTGAAAGTGTAGTTATTTTTTTAAATTTATTTACCTGGATCTGCATTTCAATCAGATAGTTATAATTGGAAATAAAATGCTATATTTTTCAGATCATACGATATTGTCGAAATAAACGTGACATGATTATTTTGGTCGTTCGGTGAAGAAATATGTTTCTGTGTTTTAAATTTATTAGGTATTAAATGAGCAGTGACAATGTATTTATTAAAGAACTTGAATATTATCCTCAGAATTTTGTTGATCAAAGTTACATTAAGAGGTGAGTTAATCTAGAAATTGGTACACTGGTCGATGAATGTATCATAACAAAGATTGAAAAAGGTTATAACTTTGGTCAATCTGAGATATTCCTACATACAGTCAAGTAACCTAATTTCGTGCTAACCTATTTTTCGTGCATTTCCGGAAAGGATTAATAATTCAATAAATGTGTGACCTCCGCATTTGCTTGTTTTGATAAACATGGATTATTTCTACAATATCAGCTAGTAGAATGAATCCAGTAGTTTCAATCAAAGTAAAATGTATTAATGTATACCTTGACAAATACAAAATGGCGGATTTCACTTATTACCAAACGTCACAATTTTTTATCAGCCGAATTTCCTTATAATCCCTAGCTGTAATCGGAATTCCAAGTGTTGTCTGCTATAATGTAGTCCAACGAATGAAGTCACGCGATCAACTAGCAGATTCCGTGTCAGCAGAAAAATTCTATGGAACACAAACCGGGCCATATTCTTATGTTGTTTCACTGAATTTTAGCAATAAATACGTATCTTATTTTGTCAGTACCTTTTTTTTTCTTTTAAATCATGGTTCTTTGAAGGAATTGTCACTAGTCATAATGAATCGATATTGAAGATAAATACTGAGAGAAGTTAATTATACCACCGGGTATCCATACAACGTGTTTTTCTCGACTTATTTATAATCAAACATTGTACACGAAAATAGGTGACGCATTTTGCTGCCGTTGTCGAGTTGGTTACTCATGAAATATGGGTCAAAGTGAAGGATTCATAAAGAAAATCGAAACAAACCAATTTTAATTATGTTGTAGAATATCTGAGGAAACATCTAAGACATAAAAAAAATTTCCGTTTATTTTAACTTTGACGAAATTCGATGTTGAATCGTTATATGCACGAAAATAGGTTACACCACTGTATAACAATTAATCTATTTCTAGTTATATTTTAAAATTACAGCGCTAAACCTGCAGAAAATTTTTGTCCAAGCTGTTTCAATAAATATTATGTCAGTGAAGAAAGTTATTAGAGTAACCAAATCTTTAGAAGAAAGATATATATTTCCATATATGTATCTGAGAAAAAAGTGTATTAAAAGGCCTTTGAACAGGATAGACTTTGTTTCAGGTTGTACCATTACAGTTTCATGTAGTACAAATACAAGTACAGTATGTAACGGAGTATCTAGTCTACCATGTACAACACACAAACTATCTTGTCCTAGTCCTCTAGTAATACAGATAATAAATACAACATATGGTTATAGATCAGAATGTTATGTTAATGGTCATTCTAGTTGTGTAAATACATCATGTTGTAATGAAAAACCTAGTGATTGTTTTCAACTATTTTCTGATGATGATAAACGAGCAGCAGGGAAATGTAATGGTAAAAAAACTTGTAAGTTATCTGGATTTCGTGAGGCTCATGGCATAGACTGTAGCGGAACAATAAATGCTTACAGTAAAATAAAATACGACTGTGTTAATAAAGGTAGTGTTTTTTTTTTTTTGTATTTGATAGCATATCACTTAGACTAATCTGATCACTTTTCAGAATAGAAATCTCGGGTAGAGATATTTATTTATTCTTTAACAAAGGACATAATATGGATGATGAAATTTCTTCCTTTTCTTGAAATTTCCATCCACAGCCTTCAATAAATTACACCTAGGCTATTCCTTTCGAACTTAGCCAATCAATTATATTTACTTGATCAAATCTATAGTGGAAAGTTGTTAGAGATGAGTTACTATCCTTAGTTTCTTAATCAACCTTTAAGTATCATCTAACAATACAAGAGGTTTTTTAGAAGTCTTTCGGACAAATATACATGTATATAATAGATGCGTTGTACAAATTCATACTTTTGATTTGTTTATGAAAGGCGGAATGATAACCGCAATGTCTAATCACAACTAGTTTGACCGTGGTGAAGCTGCACAGTTTTCAAAATAGTGAAAATTGGTGCCGTAGGGTCAAAATGTGGAGAAAAGGTACAAATTCTCCAGAAGGTTGAGATTATGACCAGGGCACTGCAGAATTAATCATAATTTCTTTAAATCTGTTGTGTTTTTCTCAGATAGTAAGCTAATAAGAATATACTAAAGGACATGTACAAATAAGGACATAATTTAGTAATGGACTGTTATGGTTAAATGGAAATTGTGTAAACGAGCTGCTTGTTGGCATTCTTTGTTTTTTGGGTTCTACTTGCAAACTGCAAAGTAGATTATTCTTACAAACTGTATAGTCGTTTGTAAGAGACTGGATACGGACTTCTATCGGCTATGAATTCACTTTCCAAATAAGATAACAGCTAAGATATTAACAACACTTTATTTACATTCAAAAACTGGAGATCTACACTAATCCAAGAAGTATACCCAAGACTCTTAGGGCCGTATGCTGCGGTCGAACTTCAGTCGTACTTTACTCAAAGTCGAGCTTAAGTCAGACTTTAGGTATGCTGCGCTCGATCTTTGATATAAGTAATGCTTTACTCGAGCGTTTTGTGGACAAATCTAAAGTAAAGTCTAAGATAGGGTGGTAGCAGACTTTAGCCGTACTATATATACGTTTGCGATTGAAATTGTGACAATGGAAGATTATTTCAACCAATTACACCAAATTATAGATATTTACCATGTGGAGAGGAGATTTAAAGACCGCTCAAATCCAATGGAAGATCTAGACGAGAGTGAATTTACGAAACGCTTCAGATTTCCAAAGGATGGCGTTCTGCATATTTTTGAAATGATTTCAATCATCGATGTGACAAAACTGTACATATCCCACCATTACTACAGTTATTAGTATGTCTTCGTTCGTATGCTAGTGGCTCTTCCAAACAAACGTGGGGGACATAATGGGCGTTCATCAATCCAGTGTCTCCCGAATAGTGAAATTGGTATCAAGGGCTATAGCTATTCATAGGCCTGAGCTAATTACGTTTCCAGATGAAAATGAAATAAAAACAATACAACGAGGTTTTTACGACATTACGCAGTTTTCGGGGATAATTGAAACAATTGGTTGTACACATGGAACCCGTGATGATTTCTGTATTCTGTATTTGTATCTGGACACAATGTTCCGCTGGTAGCAGTGGCTGATCTGGTTGTGGATCGCGTAAATACGGGAGAACCTGTGTTGAATATAGAAATGAAAATTAAATTAGCTACCTAAAATATAATCATATATTTATGAAAAATTCAGTACCAATGCAAAAGGGGTTGTTTAAAGTAAGGTGCTACGTAACAGTTCGAATCGTGCATATGCACTTATTTC